GGGTGAGAAATCTTGCAGAGAGACAAAAATTTGGGAAATCATTGAGAAGTTAATGGGTGAAGTGGAGAGGAAGGAATTGCAGAGAGGGAGTATAGAGGAGACAGAAAGGGCTGTTGGTGGAGGTAATGAGTGAAGGAATGAGAAGATTTGTAGGAGTGAGGAGAGTGCAATAATAGAAAAAGAGGTAACCCGTGGAGAAGAGTCGGTTGTAGAGTTTGTGAAAAAGTTGGGGTGCAAGCTGAAAAATCCGAATGACCTAAAAGCCTATATGCAAAAAAAAAGAGGACAACAAGATGAAGAAGAGAAAGTTGAATGAAGTGGAGAGATTGAAAAGAGATATTGAGGGGGATAAGAAGTTTGAGGTGAAAGGGGGATAAAAGAAAAGGGTATAAATAGATTTTAGAGGAGTTAGGGTTGAGGTTAAAAGTTTAAAATGAGAATTCTAAGTTGGAATGTGAGGGGATTGGGCAACATTAGGAAGACAACAACAATTAAAGAGGTGATTAAGAAGTTTAACCCGGATGTGGTAATGCTTCAGGAGTCCAAAAGAATGGATTTTGACTGCAGATGGGCAAGGAGTGTGTGGAGATCTATGGGAATAAAGAGGGTGGCTGCTCTCTCGTGGGGTTCCTTAGGTGGGATTGTGACTTTGTGGAAAGAAGAATTACTAGTAAGTGTGGAGGAGTTAATAGGAGATCATTCTGTCTCCCTAGAGTTCAGACAGGTGGATGATGGGTATGAATGGGTACTAACAAATGTGTATGGCCCCAATGATTGTAGGTAGAGGGAGAAATTATGGGAAGAATTGAGTGATATTAGAGGCCTATGGGAAGGACCTTGGGTTGTGGGAGGGGATTTTAATGTAGTGAGATTTATAGAGGAAACTAACAACCCTAGATAGAGAGTGACAACAAGTATGAGGAAGTTCAACCAATTTGTGGACTCTTTTGAACTAAAAGAACTTCGATTCCTAAATAATAACTTCACTTGGTCCAACCTTCAATCCAGGCCAATTTGCTCTAAGCTAGATAGATTTTTGTTCTCAACAGATTGGGAGGAACATCGGGGTAATCTAACTTCTAGGGCTCTTCCAAGACTTACTTCAGACCATTGGCCTATAGTGTTGGGTAAGGAGGATTTAAGAGGTGATGATTCTACCCCATTTAAGTTTGAAAACATGTGGTTGACTCATACGGGTTTCATTGAGAAGATCAGAGAGTGGTGGGAGCAATCTAATCTGGTAGTAGAATGGGAGGGAATGAGGTTCCATGAGAAACTCCAATTCCTAAAATCACAATTAAAGGAGTGTAATAGGCTGGAGTTTGGAAGAATAGAAGAGAGAAAACAAGTTTTGATGGAGTAGATTGAGGATTTGGACCAGAAGGAAGAGAGAGGTTCCTTTGGAGAGGAAGAAAGGAAGTTGAGATGAGTTTTGAGGAGGCAATTGGAGGACATTCTGGTTAAGGAGGAAATTAGTTGGTGGCAAACATCCAGGTGTAAGTGGCTAAAGGAGGGAGAYAGAAACACAAGGTTTTTTCATTCAGTGGCAAATGAGAGGAGAAAAAAGAATTTCATCTCTAAATTGGAAGTTGATGGAGCAATTTTGTCCCACCCGGTAGAAATTATAGAGGCCTAGTAAACCATTTCAAATCTATATTTAGAAGGCCTTTGAATGGGAGAGTGTGGTTGGAGGGTTTGGATTGGCCGACTTTAAGTGCAGAGAGGAGAGAATGGTTAGAAAAGAGTTTTGATATGGAGGAGATAAAGGAAGCAATATTCTTAATGGATAGGACAAAAGCTCCGGGTCCAAATGGCTTCACAATAGCCTTCTACCAGGATTGTTGGGATATTTTGGAGAACAATCTTAGATAAGTTTTTGAGGAGTTCCACAGAAGGGGAATAATAAATCCGGGTTTGAACTCAACTTTCATTGCTTTGTTCCCAAAGAAGAAAGAGGCATCACAACCAAAGGATTTTAGACCTATCAGTCTGGTGACTAGCTTGTACAAAACTATTGCAAAAGTGATGTCTCTTAGGATAAAGAAGGTGCTTCCCTCTATTATTGCTTCCAACCAAGGTGCTTTTGTGAAGGGAAGACAGATCACTGATCAGATCGTCATTGCAAATGAGAGCTTGGAGAGCTTTAGGAAGTTGAAGAAGAAGGGAGTGGTTTGCAAATTGGATTTGGAGAAGGCTTATGACCTTGTTGATTGGTCTTTCTTGTTGGAGGTTTTGAGGAGTTTTGGTTTTGGAGACAGGTGGTGTAAATGGATCTGGGGCTGTGTCAGGACTTATCATTATTCTATCTTGGTGAATGGAACTGTGGTTGACTACTTTCCTGCTTTGAGAGGTCTAAGACAAGGAGATCCTCTTTCCCCTTTTCTTTTCACCCTGATTGTTGATGTACTTGGGAGATTGATCCATAGAGCAGACTCGAGGAATCTGATACGAGGGTGGAGAGCTCCTCGAGTTGTTTTTTTTGTTGGGAAATGTTCCTGGAAAGAATAAACACATTTGACTTACTTTAGAGAAAGAGACCCAACTATTGTCTACTTCCTAATAGATGTGCTCTTTGTAAAGCAGATGGGGACTCTGGCTACCACCTCATGGTCTCTTGTAAGGTTACTAAAACTGTATGGGAGTGGGTTTTCTCCCGCTTTGGGTGTTCTTGGAATCCGTCGGAGAGTGTCCAAAGCTTGTTCTCTCCTTTTTTTAGATGGCCTAAGAAGCAAGGGAAGACTATGTGGAGGAGTATTAGGGCAGCTGTGTGCTGGTCACTATGGGAAGAAAGAAATTCACGTATTTTTTCAGACAAGGAAAAAACCCTGGAAGAACTGTCAGACCTAATCCTGTTAAGGGCTGTCCGCTGGCTAAAATCTTTGGAGTTGTTTTCAGACTTTCCTATGGATGACTTGCTAAGAAATTGGAAAGAGATTGCTTCCACTGCTAGGTGCAAGAGGACTCTTTGTCCCTCTAGGTCCTCTCTCCCCTTGGGTGTTATAAAATTGAATTTTGATGGCAGTAGTGTAAGGAATCCAGGGCCCTTTGGGATTGGAGGAGTTTTCAGGAATGAGGAAGGGCATGTTATTGCTTTGTTCTCTGGCCCTATTGGAGAAGGTGACTCTCTTAGGGCTGAGATCCTTGCAGTGCTTGAAGGAATTCAAAGAGCAAAGGAATTTAATACTGGCCATTTGATCTTGGAAGGTGATTCGAAGGTGGTGGTTAGCTGGTTGAAGAAAGAGGACAGTGGATTGTGGAACTATAACAATGAAAGGAAACAATTCTTATTGCTGAGTAGGGACATTGAGATACAATACAGCTGGGTGAAGAGGAGTGCCAACTCATTTGCGGATGGGTTGGCCAAGCAAGGGGTGAATAGGGAGTCTGTCTTTTGGGCTAGTTTTTAATTTTTTCTCTTTGTATTCTCTTTGTATTTTGTTATTGGGGAGCTAAGATATTTTATCTACCCTCTTGTATCCATAATCCCTCTTTTTTTTTTTTTTTAAATTAATGAAGCTGTTGTTATTGATAAAAAAAGATAAAGGAAAAAATATTATTGAAATAAAAAAGAAGATACAAGGAAGGTGATAAACAATCACTCTAGAGAAAGACCAACCCAATGAGAAATCCCAGAGAGGCATAAACAAACCCAAACAAACAGAACCAAAGCCAAACAAAGTTTAAACCGAACTAGATATAACCCCTAAACAAACATTAATAGAAACAAGACAAAAAACGACAAAAGAAACCCAGAACATCCTAGCCAGCCCAACGCCCACAGTACCCCAGTAAGACACCCAACTTCATACTGGAACTCCAAACACTTAAACTCTTTTTTTTTTTTTGATCAGCTCCAAACACCTTAATTCTTCTTCTCAGTTTTTGAGTACAATCTTCTTGTCGTCTTTGACTATTTTGTTTTGGGTTTTTTGATGAGCTTGTTAGGCCCAACACCAAATAGATCACCTTTTAACCTCGTGAAAACCTTAGAAATTGGGATCTGCTGTTGAGTTCTTTTATTCTTTTGAGTTTTGAATCTTTTGACTGTATTTAGAGTTCCCACGGTTTATTCAGACTTCCCCACAGACTTTTGATCCCTATCTGAAACCACCGCCCCCTCAACCTCTCCTTCTGGCTCCTTGGTGATCTCCCTGCAACTTTCGGCATTCGCTTCCATCTCTTGCATTGTGAGTTATCGCAATTACAATTAACTACTGGAGCTACTGTATTTTCGTTATTCCTGATTGTATCCTCCGCAGACCTGAATGCTTCCTTTGCAAGTTCTTCCCCTCCTAGGAAAAACAGATCCAGAGTTTTGCTGACTTTCACTCCCATATTCACTGCTTTCTTGATGTCACAAGTCTTTTCTACTATATGGGTCTCATCAATCATCAGTTCAGACTCACTTTCCTCCCCTGATTCCACTTCCATCCCCTCCTCTCTATTCTCCTCTAATGGGATATATTTTTTCCTTTTATATGTTTTAACCTCCCCTCAATTTTACCATCTTCACCTGATTCCGCTTCCATCCACATGTTTAAGACTATTGCAGTAACCATTTTGGGGATATTGCTTCTGCATTTCAGGATTTTGATTGGTAGTGAGAAGAATTACTCTACATTCCATGAAAAACAACGACTATTCATATGATCGTGTAGGCATGGTGGCTACTGCAAATTTGATATTTTTCTCTCATAATGATAGAGTGCAATACAAATTTTTTGATTATTAACTGTTAAATTTTATTAGTTATAGAAAAAAGAATGTAAGTATACCAAAGATCCCTGGTAGCCCCTGCTACCAACCCAAATATACCCTTATGCTAAGATTATAGTTGGCAAGGTCTCCATTTGGTTACCCCCAATGCATGTTGGTCCTGTGTGCTCTTCCTTGGTTAGCATGTCTGAACAATACAAACTTTACAAAGGATCTGAATAGATTTTAGAGAAATGAAATGGTTACTTGTGCAGATGAGAGCTTGTGGTGTTTGTTTTCTGCAGGTAACAAAGCAGCACAATGAAGACTGCAAGAAACTTCTAAGACTCATGGGTGTACCTGTAATTGAGGTGATGTACTTAATTAACTCATTGCCCCTTTTTATTGGTAACTGTTAGCTTTTTTCTTAGATAAAAATGAAGAATGGTTTATGTAAATCATGCCAAGCATCCCAAATTTTTACGCTAGTATCTGCCACCTAACCCTTCTCTTTTTGTCTATTTACAATTCAACATTCATTCTCCAATAATCTCTAAAATAGATGAGACAAATTTTACTCCTTTTGGGTTAGCATCAGCCAAATTGTTTGCTTATGTATGAACCCAAGAGAAGTTACTTTCTATTTCTCTTGCCATAGCTCTTATTTCCCTCACAGTGCACCTATATCGTCGTGATCCTTGACTGTCGTTCTTTAACTGACCCACTACCATTCTATCATCTCTTACTTTCAGTGATCTTTCCAGCCAGAGTCCTTGTAACACTACTAGTATCTCAGCTCTTGTATTGTAGAGTTCCCATAGCCTATGGGTCCTGAGTAAATTGCTAACCGGCATCATTGCAAAATGCAAAGAGATTGTGGATTTGGATGTCATGCTATTGACGAGGAGGCTACCCATTAGCAATTTCTAAGGATGTCATCCTTAGAAAATGGATAAAAAATGTAGCACTTTCATTGAGATGCTTTCAATGATTGCTCGTTTTTTAGAATGTGTATTTCCATTAAGAATTTTGCTACTCCAATCTTTCCATGTTGTCCCAAGAACTATTGTGCTTATTCATCAATCATCACCACATAACCTAATTGCCCTTGTTGGGTTTGTCAGTGGTGCTTGTATGCAAAAATGTTCCTTCTTGTTGATGAGTTTTCTTTTTTTAATTCATTTTTGTTTTTAATTGTATATGTTGAGCATTCATCTTTGCTCCATAACATAATGTTTCATTTCTTTTTGTGTTCTCTAGGCACCATCGGAAGCAGAGGCCGAGTGTGCTGCACTTTGCAAAAATGGGAAGGCATGCATCCTATATGATTATCACAATTTTGGATTTACTTATGGTATTTGATATAGTAGGAGTTTATGTTAGATCTTTTGATGTTTTAGGTCTATGCTGTGGCTTCTGAAGACATGGATTCCCTAACTTTTGGAGCTCCCAGGTTTCTTCGTCATTTAATGGATCCAAGCTCAAGAAAAACACCTGTGATGCAATTTGAGGTTTCAAAGGTGCATACAACATAGAAAAATATCACTGATTGGTTAAAATTTAAATTGATTGCCTCTTGTTCTGCTTTTGTTTCAGATTTTGGAGGAGCTAAACCTCTCTATGGACCAATTTATTGATTTGTGCATTCTTTGTGGGTGTGATTATTGTGACAGTATTCGAGGTATGATGTGATTCTTATGCTTATAAGTTGGTAAAATGATGCTAATTTTCTGTTTATCACCTCTATGGTTCTGTTTGTGGTTATCAAGGGTGCATGTATGGTTATTACTCTGACAGTAATTGAGTTTATGCATATGATGCATATACTAAAAAAAGGAAAGAACCAATAGGAACTAAATCAGTTTTCCAATTCCTACACTAATTTACTGATCATAAAAATTCCTACACTAATTTCAGAATTTTTGGTTGATATTGGTATTGTTTGTTTTTTTTTTGTATTTATTTTCTAGTTGCTTGTGTCTTTAAGAATGGGGTTTTAAGTTTTCCATAAATTTACTGTTATTTCGAAATTACTATTTATGGTAACTTTTGGACTTACTGTTCATAGCAATTCTCATAATTACTATGCTTAGTAAACTCGTGATTTACTATTTTTAGTAAATTCTGGTGTCTTTACATTAAACCAGTTTTACTAGGATTAGGAAAGTGTTGTTAGAGTTGTTTAGGTCCTTCAGGAGTTAGTCTTTGTTTAAGTGTCCCTATAGGTCACCAGTGGATTTGTCTTAGTTTTGAAGCAAGTAGAGGTTGATTTGGGTCAGTTTTGTAATCTAAAGGGTTGTTTGGCAACATGGTTTGTTTTGTTTTTGAAAACAATAACAACTGCCACATGAGCAAAATTATATTATTTTTACTGGTATGGCAGTTGTTTGTTTTCAAAAACAAAAGCAACCATGTTGTCAAACACCGCCTAAATTGTAGTCTAAGTCGAGTCTATAGATAGAATCATTATAATTTTGGTTGTTGCTAGGAAATTCTCTTTTTTTTCCCTCCTCTCTCTCTCTAGCACTTCTTTCAATTGATCTATCTCTTTGCTATTTAGTAGTTACCATAACAACAATAGTTCTTCTCTTTCTTATAATTTCTTGCTTATTCTTAGACAGCAAGCTGTCTACTTGTTCTTTCATCTATTTTCTTCATCCTTAATCTACCAAAGCCCCCCTTAACCCACAAAGCCCACCGCCAGATCTGGAATTTGTAGGACCTCTACCCCTCTTACCTCAGTATATCAGTTGGCGAAGGGATGTTAGTTTTCAGGTTTTCACCTCTATGGTTCTGTTTATGGTTATCACGAGTTCATGTATCATTACTGTGACAATAATTGATGTGTGATGGACTTTTTATGTGTGATCAATCAGTGAAAAAAATTCCTTGAAAATGAAATTAAATTTCACTATTAAGGAAAGAGGGAACAACAATTGTTGTGCTTCAACGACTTTTTTTTTTTATATTGACAATATTATCAGGAATTGGCAGTTGGTGACATCCTTATCCACAAGAGCGAACATCACTACTATCCCTTGGTTGCGTCCAGCCCTTAAATCCATGAAAATAAATTGAGGTAAAAACTGGATAGACACCTACTCTTTATCTAGGGGGTTGTGACATACTCCCTGCACTTGTTTACTTGTTTTGCAACAAAGGCCTCCTGTACTTTTGGGTTTCAGTACTTAGCCCCTTGCCATTACCATTCTCAGTTATATACATGGACCCATGTGACTGTCATGTAGAGGTTTATACATTTTTAAAACCCCAAACTGCCTTGATTTTATTTTTTAAGACTCTTTTTCCCTTTTAACTTAATTTTTCTAAAACACTAATGTTTACATGCTTCTCTCAACAAAGGCTGGTACTCGGGGGGTGTTTTTCGGATTTTGAGAGAGGGGGGAAAGTTGGTCAATGGGATTTTGGTTCCCATTGACCAAGAATCCCATGTTCTTTTTTCAGATTTATGTGGGGACCAGGGAAAGTTTATTTTCCTAGGTATCACTTATCGGGTAAGTGATACCCATCTCCTAGGTGGGTAAATAACTTTCCCACCTAGGGGGAAAGTTGCCAACACTTGAATGGGACAAAAATGCCCTTTTTAATAATAGATTTTTACGGCTAAAATGGTCATTGCCTTATTTACATGAGAAATAAAAGAACATGGGTAAATGCACTTACCCAGGTAAGTGTTTCCCAGGAAAAACTTACCCAGGTAATTGCATTTACCCGGGTAAGTAACTTACCAAAAAGCGAACGGGGCCTTGGTGGTAACTCATGCCTTTCATGGAAGTTCTGATGAACAAGCAGTTCATCTTTAATCCCTTGAATGAGCATTTGATCATTAAACTTTGTTCTTTACAATGGGTGGTTTTGTAATTTTCTTTATTGTTACTTTTGGTCCAATGCACAATTTGGTGATTGCAGTTTCACTGTTAATCCCATTAACTAATCAGGGGCAAAGTGTGGGATTCTAGAAGTATCGGGGAGGCTCTTTGTTGCAAAACAAAGTTTGGGGGGCTAAATCTCACAACCCTTTAAGTACAGGGTGGGTGTTTGTTATTTACCCTAAATTTTAATAGGTGCATTTCCAAATTATATTTTGAGAGATGCTAGTTTAGAAAATATAAGAACTTTAGGATTAGGTGGTTCATTCAAAGATGCTATTAGGCGACATGCTAGCCCTATTTTCAGGACCTATAAGGTCATGGTGGCTCAATTTGAGCTGAACTTTTCGCAGTTAGTCATGGGCCAAGACTGGCTATCTAGCTATATTAATTTCATGGTGGAAGGAGACTTGATTGTAATTGTGTGGCAGCTCATAAGAGATTGGATAGATTCTTGGAAATATAGGAGTATTATGAGAAAAATCAATGAACTGGTAGAAGAGCTGCGTTTTGTTTATAAGTGGATTTTATTTTTTGAAAAAAGGTAAAGTTTGATTGTTTATAAGTGGATTTTGAGATCTGCCAATTTCTTGGCTTATGTGTTGGCTAAATAGGGAGTAACAAGAAGCCGGTTGTACTGGGTTAGTACCCTAGGAAAGGGTTGTTTAAATTGTATGAAGGGCTAAGGCTAATGGAAAAAAGCGGTACTAGGCATACATTTATGATAATGAATTCTTTCTAAACATTCTAATAAACCATTTTGATGGTTACTGATCTAGAAATTGGAAAGAGGAAAAAAATCAATGTTTTTAACGATATAAAGGCAGTTATTGTCAACATCTATGGTATAATGTTGGTCACCTTAGGTATAAATGATGTCAACTATTGACTCAGATTGTGGGCCATGCTTCGAAGACAAAGTTCATCAATAATGCTGGAGAATTCTCTATGAAGCATCGTTTCAAATTAAGGGCTTCAAACAAGAGAAAATTCAAGCAATCTCGAAGTTTTAGGTGCACATTTCAGTTTGAAAGCTTTGGGAAGGGGCTTTGGAGTTTGAGAGCTGAGATTGCTCGTGAAGTATTTCAGAAGAGTAATCAATGTGGAAGATTCATTGAACTTCTTAATCTAAGAGAACACTGCGATGAAAGGAAAAAGGAGAAGACAAGTCCTAATCAGCAAGCTGGGAAGTTTATTTCTTTTGGTGATTTCGTTGTCACAGACATTGGAATCTGGAGGAGGTCCAAGTGGTTGTTTGTTCAGAAGATTCAGAAGGTCAGAAGGAAGGAAGGGAGGTGGTTTCTAGGGAAGTAGCGAAGGAGTTAGCGAGGTGGGAAGGGGAGGACAAGGAAGCAATGTTAGGTAGGTCTGGCTGTGGAGGGGACAACGCTAAGAGTGTGACTACTGAACACGGCGATGAGGTTGTGTGAGAGGCTTCGGACAAGAATGACAAAACTAACTCATCTCTAGACTGCGAGTATTACCAAAAGTTTGAAATTTCAGTTGGTAGGATTGGAGTACATCTAGGGTGGAGAAGAGTTGTGAACAAGGAAGGTGCTGTAGGACCTATTGAAGGAGCGAAAAAAGCCAGAGAGACAAGCAAGTGTCGCCTTGTCCATGTGTCTAAGGTTTTCTCGAGGCTTAAAGACGATTTGATTGGGCAGGTCCTTCCAACAAATATAAGAGAGTGTACAAAAGGAAGAGGTTAAGTTGGGGGGGGGCTTCAAGTTGTCGTAGGGGAGATAAAGTCGACCCTGACAAAAGAAGGGCCAGAGGTTAGACCGGGGTCAGGGGATAAGAAGGAAGAGGGAGATCAAGTCGATGAGAGTAGCCTTACTTTGTCTCAACAAGTTGATAAAGATGGGGAGAAAGTGGAGATTAAGACCTTGGTGGACAGGGAGGTTAGAGTTGGCAGGAGTTTAAGGCTATTCTTTTGGGGAGGTGAAGAGTTCACTAGAAGAGCTTTAGAAAAATTTGAAATGAGTAAAAGGAAAGAGAAATTGAAGAAGATGCTGTGGTGAAAAGAAGAAAAAGTTTGGGATGAGGAAGATGGCGGGTAGTAGGACGAGTCATTTGATCCTGAAGACTAACCAATGTATGAGGCAGGGGGTTCTCAATCTTTCTTTTTGTTAGTTTTGTCTCTTTGAAAGCATTGCTGTATGGAGGGGGGGGGGTTCTCAGTATTTCTTTTTGTTAGTGCTGTAATCTGCTTTTTATTTTATCAATAATTTTTTTTTTCTTTTATTCTTCAAAAAAACTCCTACGTGTTGGTGATGAGTATCATAATGGGCCTTCATCCTTGACTGGGCCTAGATAGATTGGCCTTGAGAATTTTCTGGATCTCATCTTGGGCAGTTAGTGTGGCTTCTATTTCAGCAGCTTTAGTGGCTCCCAACTCATAGGGGAGTATAGGGGGTGGATCATGTCCATACAATGCTTTGAATGGAGTCATGCCGGTGGCTGACTGATTGGTCGTGTTGCACCAATGCTCAGCCCTTGGGAGCCGGTGAGCCCACTACTTGGGCTGTTCCCCTGCAAAGCAATGCAAATAAGCTTCCGGACATTTGAGAACCTCTGTCTGCACATCAGTTTGCGGGTGATAATTGGTGGATGGAACAACTTGGTACCATGCAGCAGGAAATATTCCCTCCAGAAGTGGCTGTGGAAGGAGGGGTCTCAATTAGAAACAATGGACTTGGGGGTCCCATGCAGCTTGGCCATGTCCTTTACAGACACTTCAACCACCATGGCAGCAGTGTATGGGTGAGGCAGAGTTGAAAAGTGTTCATAC